AGCGTGGGGAAGCTCTACGAGTTTCGCCTCATGATGACCTTCAGCGGGCTCAACCGCGGCTTTGCCTACGCCAAGTACAGCAACCGGCGCGGCGCCAAGGAGGCCATCGCCGCCTTCAACAACTTCAAGGTGCGGGAGGGCTGCGCCATCGTGGTGTGCAAGAGCACGGAGAAGTGCGAGCTGAGCGTCGACGGCCTGGCCACCTCGGTGAGCCGGCGGGAGCTGGAGGCCGTGCTGCGGCGGGTCACGGAGGGGGTCCTCAGCGTCACCCTGCATGCCAGCCCCTGCCAGAAACGGGCCCAGCTCGCTGTGCTGAAATACAGCTCGCACCGGGCTGCTGCCATGGCCAAGAAAACCCTGATGGAAGGTAAGCGGGAGGCCAGGGTGCTGTGGGATGCTGCTTGGGCTGGTCTTCCTGGAGTTTCTAAGGAAGGATCCCACCTCCAGGCTCAGCTGGGAGGTGACTTCAGCCTTGAGACATCCCTTGTTCTCTCCCTGTGTCCCGTGGGAGGCCAGCTGTCCTCAGTAGGGCCGATGCCCGGCCGTCCTTGTGCAGAGCTGGCGGTGGGGGGGTAAAGGGGCTGCTGGAGGGCTTCAGGCAGCTGCCTGAGCAGAGAAGGAGGATCGCCAGTACCAGTCCGGGGCATACAGAGCTTGGACCAAGTTATTAAACCTTCCTGACGGAGATGCCCTACCCCTCAGTGCCCCACCCCTGATTCCGCTGCCCTCCCATGGGACATGTTTCCCAGACATCCAACTGGAACCTCCAAAGCCCTGATCTGTACCCGTTGCTGCCCCAGCTGAGAAGCATTTGGCTTTGACGTCTTGGCACCTGTCCCTAAATGCAGGCTGCCCCTGAAGTCCCCTGAGCTTCCCAACCCCCAGCCCACCCTGGTTTCAAAAGGAGATGGAGAAGCAACTGCCCTGCGGCTGCGTGAGGGGTGGCGGAGGCAGGAGAAGGGATCCTGTGCGGGTCGTCAGTGCCAAACCACCCGTGGGGTCACTGCCCCTGATGCTGGGGGGTGGGATGGGGTCATACTGGAGGGCTGGTGCGTGAGCATCTCCTGCCAGCTGCTGCCGGTCTCTCTTAGGAAACATGAGGCTCGGTGGGGTGGAGATGAAGGTGGACTGGGTGAACCCCGATCTGAAGCAGAAACTGCAGGAGAAGCCGTCGTCGTGTGAGGAGAAGCCATCGTCCAGCCGGGTGCAGGGGGACAAGTGCCTGGGGGTCCCCAGGCAGGCACCCCTGTCTCCGGTGCTGCGCAACGCGCTGGACCGCCTCACCGCTCTGTGCCGGAGGCAGTACCTGGGGACCCCCCTGTTCCTCACCAAGTGCGTCCAGGCGAACCCCAACGGGTGGCTGCGGTTCTGGTGCCAAGTGGTGATCCCGGGGTGCCCCGTGCCTTTCAGTGGCTTCACGTGGGTCCGGCAGGACGGGCCAGGCAGGAGCGGGCACGAGGAGGCGAAGGTCGCAGCGGCGCTGCAGGTTCTGCGGATGCTGGGTGAGTCCTCACACGGCATCAGTGCCAACCCCTGCCTTTCCCAAAGCCTGGGAGTGTTCCCTGGGAGCGTGGAGCTGTCACGCTTCTGGTGCGTGGGGGGCATCCAGCCTGGCAGGCCGGGCTGGGACGCTGGCACCCCCC